AACCAATGTCATAAAACAATACGTGTACTGACTGTTTAATGAGAAACTATTTGTTCTGTAAACCTTCATCTAAAGTACAATAAAAAAATTAAAAAAAAAATTCTTTACACTTGCTATATAGTATTCTCAGGAATAAAGACAGAGATTTCAAAACTTAGGTAAAAAACTGTCACACTAATAATTTTTTCCCCAATTTCAGGATGGAAATTTTGTATATTAAGGAAAAAGAAAAAAGGAAGACAAAGAATAATTTGAAATTATTTAATAACTCAGGGTCTGCATCCAGGCCAAAGTCATTTTAGTTTCTTCCTTCTGTGATTCCCACGTAGCTCACAAAACAAACTTAGCTTCCTATGAGCTTAAAACTTAACTAAAAACCAAGGCAAAACAAAACAAATGAGAAAGTAAACAAAAATCTGGGGCCTTACCTTTATTATCAAGCCTGAACCCAGTTTTTACTGGATGAGGTCCAGAGAAGACACATTGCTATTATTTGAAAATGATTCTCTTGCTCTCCAGGAAAAAACCTAACAAACAAAAAACAAAAAACCAACCCTGTTGCTGTCAAGTCAATTCCAACTCATGGAGATCCTACAGGACACACCAGAACTACCCCATAGGGTTTCCAAGGAGTGGCTGGTAGATTTGAACTGCCGACCTTTTGGTTAGCAGCCAAGCTCTTAACCACTGTGCTGCCAGGGCTCCATGCTCTCCAGCAGGAGAGGTAATGTAAATATATGTTTATATACAATCATTCGGTTTTAGTTTAAGCAATATGGTATCTTTAGAAGTTTTTTTTTTTTTTTTCTCCTAAGCTATACTGTTTTCTTAAATCTCCCCTTGTTTGACTAAGCGCTACTCTTCCTTCAATCTCAATTAAAAAGGCACTTCCTCAGAGAGGCATTTCTCTGATTCTCCGATCAAAATTAGAACTTGTTTCAACCCCGCCACCTTTCTTCGAGTAGTACCCTGTTATTTCCATTCCTAGCATGACTTATAGAGAATTACTACATATTTATTTGTTTACTATCCATCTTAAATATAAAAGCTCCTAAAAGGCAGGGACCACATCTGTTTGAGTCATAGTATGTAAATATATTATTTAACAAATTACATATTGTATATGCGTATGCATATGGAGCCCTGGTGGTGGAGTGCTTAAGAGCTTGGCTGCTAACCAAAATGTTGGCAGTTCGAATCCACTAGCTGCTCCTTGAAAACCCTGTGGGCCAGTTGTCCTCTTACAGGGTCACTGTGAGTCAGAGTTATATGTATATATGATAAGCAAGTTTCTGGTTAGGTTTTTCTAGGGCAGTCTTACCTTTTGCCATGTTCTTTCTTTTTGGAAGTGAAGTTCTTTCGTTTTGCTGCAATAGAGGTGCCTTTATGAAGAGAATTTTCCTTTATATTGAAGTATAATTGTTAAGGCAATATATTCTTAAAAATGTCACTTTTGCTTTGTTTTCTTTCTTTTTGTCCAGGAGAAATAAATGATTCGGCTAAGCCTGAGATGTTCACATTTCACAATGGAGGTGTACAAATTATATGCAAACACCCTGAGACTATCCAGCAATTTAAAATGCGGCTGCTGAAGGGGAGGCAAATACTCTGTGAGCTCACCAAAACAAAGGAAAGCGGAAACACGGTGTCCACCGTTAAGAATTTGGAGTTCTGTCAGTTATCCAATAACAGCATCTCACTTTTTCTACGTAACTTGGACAGTTCCCATGCCAGCTACTACTTTTGCGAAATAACAATTTTTGATCCTCCTCCTTATCGGGTAGCGACTCTTAGTGGAGAATATTTGCATGTTTATGGTAAGGCTTTGCTTTTATCTTCCTGATTTAAGAGTGCATACACATTTTAACAATTTTTATCACTAATGAAAATAATTAAACATATAAGCATCTTTTATGTTGGAGGTCTGAGCCCTGGTGGTGCATTGATTAAAGTGCTTGGCTGCTAACCAGAACGTCGGTTGTTCAATCCCACCAGATGCTCCGTGGGAGAAAGATGTGGCAGTCTGCTTCCAAAAAGGTTCACAGCCTTGGAAACCCAAGGAAGAGTTCTACTCTGTCCTATAGGGTCGCTGCAAGCTGCAATTGACTAGACGGCAGTGGGTTTTATGTTGGAGTTCATTTGCGTGCAGTTAAAGGCAATCATTTATGATAAAACTATTCAAGGGACAATTTATTACTATAATTATTGTTAGTAAATAATATCCAGTTTAATCATATAGACTGCTGAGTTAGAAATGTCATGTTGTTTTTAAAACACATATCCCATAAAAATAAAAAAAGAAATTAAGAAAAATATCCAAACCTATGGCTTAATGGTTATTTCCTCTATTCACCTAAGGTTTATAATTTTGGATTTGTGCTGGGATCGTGTAATGGAGTGAGATGATTGAAAATAATAGTTTTAAATTATTACTTTTCCTACTTACTCTTTTGCAAAAAGAGAGACAGAAAATTGCTTTCTATTAACCCCATTTCTAAACATACATGTGCACAGAAGCATATAAAGTAAAAACATAGACTGTTCTAGGTTTTAGTTTCTGAATGCTTGCTATAATACTAGATGATGATGCTAGTTACCGTTTATTGACTATCATTTCTGTAATGAAGAAAATCTCCATTTGATTAAATAACTTTTAAATTTGGTAAAAGAACTTGTGATTTAGTGCTGAAAAAGGAAATGTGAGTCTCAGAGTTTTTTTCTTATCTTTTTCTCCAACCCAGAATCACAGCTTTGCTGCCAACTGAAGCTCTGGTTGCTCATCATAGGTGCAGCTTTTGTTGTACCCTACATTTTTGGATGTGTATTTATTTGTTGGCTTACAAAAAAGGTGAGCAATTTCTATTTTTTCTTGCATCTCCTTACTGAGGAATAGCAATGATTATTTCCTCATTAAAAGTACACATTGCTCTTACCAACGTCATTTGATCACCAGGTAGACAATTCCTTTTCCCTAAGATATACCTACTAATTGACTAATAATTTGGAATGGAAGCTTATTTATTTATTTTATAGATCATTTCACTGCAGAAAGTACTGGATGGCTCACAGCAGGATTCATTACTGTTATTATTTTTAAATGATAAGGAAATTGGGGTCAAGGAAAGACACAAAGCCAGGAGAAAGGTCAAAACATAAAAAGAGATGGCTATAATTTTTAAAACTTATTAAAGGTGGGCTGCAGATTTGAATCTAAGCTTCCTAAGAGTTGGGGCAAAGATGAAAGAATTAGCTGTAAGTTTCACTCAACTGGTAAGATAAAAACAATCAGTGAAAAAGTTTTACAAGCTACCAGTAGCAGCTGAGAAGGAAGTTGCCAATATTTTCACAGGATAAATGATTACACTCCTTGCTTTTAAAGAAAACCACAGGAAAGATACTCAGAAAGATAAAATAGCAATACAACAACAACAATAATCTCTCTGTCCTGGAGGATATTCTTTTTAATTTTTATATTAAACCGAAACCCACCGCTGTCGAGTCGATTCCGACTCACAGGGACTCTGTAAGACAGAGTAGAACTGCCCCATAGGGTTTCCAAGGCTGTAAATCTTTACAAAGAAGACTGCCACGTCTTTCTCCTGAGGAGTGGCTGGTGGTTTTGAACCATCAATCTTTTGGTTAGCAGCCAAACACTTTAACCACTGTGCCACCAGGGCTCCTTTCTTTCATATTATAGGTTCTCAATCAAATAATTTATGTCCATCTGGCATGCTATGCAAATATGCTAATATTCAACTATATCCACGGTGTGGTCATTGGCCAGACAGTGCGTCTATCTGTGCCAAACTCAAATTTGAAAAGAGAGGTAAAGAAAAAAAAAGAGTAAGATAGGGTCCATGACCTAAGTCTATTGGGGAAGGAACAAGAAAGGTAAAAATGTGGAGGAAATTCAGCAGAAAGCTCCTTTTATTTAAAAGTCTTTCCAGAAATGCTCCCCTATTTAGCCTAAAGTCAGGAGCCCAAGTCACATTTTAATGCTTTTGTCACATACTACTTCCAAGAAAGAATAGAAAACAGACAAAAACCAGGAATGGAGACGAGAAAGAGCAGATGACAAACCATATTTCTGGCTTTTTTCTTTCAGAAGTATCAGTCCATTGTGCATGAACCTAATAGTGAATACATGTCCATGGCGGCCGTGAACACAGCTAAAATACCTGGATCCAGAGGTACAGCTCCACTTGGGGGTTTGGTCAACGGTGGGGCAGGAGGAGGGAGTGGTCTTCACATTATGCCTGGGATTTTAATTTTTTAATTTTATTTTAAAGGAAAGGAAAATATCTCTTAGACCTAAAATTTATTTTTTTCTGTGAAAATCTGAATTTTCACTTTAACCAAATTTATGCTTTCTGTGGTACAAGCGAAGAGTAAGTTTGTAAACCATTATTGTATCAAGGCAATTTCTCAGCTGCTGTTTCAAAAATCGTGATGATTCTAAGTCTTACTTGTTGAAAGGTACATTAAGTCAGACAATGAACATTTATTGAGCATCATTTAAGTGAAAACTATTATGGGGGGATGCACATATGTGTGGAGATTTTGGCTGAAACTTGGAAGAGAGATCGGGGCTGGTGGTACCAAGGGGATGAAGAGGAAATTGGTGAAGGTATTTAATTATTTTGATGCATTAGTTTCCTAGGGATGCCATATCAAAATACCACAAGTGGGTGTCTTATAAGAACAGAAATCTATTGTCTCACAGTTTTGGGGGCTGGGAATCCTAGATTAGGGTATCAGAAGGGCCATGCTCTCTTTGAAGATCCTTTCGTGTTTCTCCAGCTTCTGGTAGCCCCTGGTGTTTGCTGGCTTATAGATACTTCTTCACATGGCATTCATCCCTCTGTGTCTCTGTCTGCTCTTTTCTTTTCTAAGGACAGCATGTATATTGAATTAGGATCTACCCTACTTGGTAATGACCTGATGTAAAATTAATTGATAGCATCTTCAAAGACTCTGTTTCCAAATAAGGTCACATTCACAGGTATAGGAGTTAGGACTTCAATCAACATATCTTTTTTGGGAATACAGTTCAATCCATAACATTTGATGTGAAGAGAATGTAAGTTTAGAGAGCTTGGATAACCTCAGTAGTCTTCCAATAAGGTGGAAATTTGAACTTTTCTGTTGAGAGAACTTTTCTGTTGAGTGCTACCAGGTTGAAGAATATCTGAAAAGTCTGAAACACTTGCAGTGGAAAAAAATCTGGAAGTCTTATGTCTTTGGGATTGGAGTGATGTGAGAGAAGTAATGAGGCAGTTGTTGTTGCTAGCTGCCATCTAGTTGATTCCAACTCATGGCGACCCCATGTGTGCAGAGCAGAACTGCTCCATAGGGTTTTCAAGGCTGTGACCCTTTGGAAGCAGATCACCAGGCCTGTTGTCTGAGGTGCCTCTGGGTGGGTTTGAAGTGCCAAACTTTTGGCTAATAGTTGAGTGCTTAACCATTTGCACCACCCAGAGAACGTAACGAGGCAGAGGCCACTATATTTTTGTCACTAGTTAGTGATTACAAGGGACATACATCACTTCCATCATTATGGAACCACAGAATGGAAAGGCACCTCTATGCTCCTTTAGTCCATCCCTCATTATTTAGATGAGAAAAATCGATGCCCAGAGTGTCAAGTGAGTCTTCTCAGTTGCCCAGATGTAATACTAAAGCTTTGACACTAGCCCAGAGCTTGCGTTTCATGACTTTGTTATTGTAAAGATATATTTTCTCTCAACCTCTGTGCTCATAGTAAGGTATTCTGTCTTCATTTGGCTGTAAGAGCCTTAGAAAGGGACTTGGGTTCGGGTAGTTTATTTGGGAGGTGGTCCCAGGAAGAAGGAGTGAGAGAGGAGAGACAGTTAAGACAGGGAGGGAGGAGAGGCAAATGAAGGGTGCATTATATCAAGATCTCAACTCTAGGACACGGGGCTTGGTTTCATTGGGACCTCAGAGACGTGTACAGAATTCATAAATGGGAGGCTTAAGAGCTTCCCAGAATTGTTATTCTGAAGTGTGGGAAGTGTAGCATTTATCCACTGGCTCTGCGCCTCACTGGTTTGGGGTTACAGCTAAGGGCTCTCCTCATCCTTGTGCTGTGCCCTGGGCATGGGATGAGCAGGCCCTCAAGTCATCGGAGAAATCCCTGAGGCAGAAAAGCAAAGAATTGCCCCATGGGGCTCTGGTGGTAGAACTGCCAGTTTGCACAGAACTGGTGGAATCTACTTCACCTGTGGAGCCCAGAATGTATCTTGCAGTTAGTTTTAAACAAATAATAACTGCGAATATGGCCATAGTGTAAGCTTCTTAAAAGTAGAAAAAGTCTCTCTTTTGTGTTCTGAAAGCATTGTGCACAATTCTAAGCTGAGCATAACTCAGCAATTCTGTAAAATATGCTTCCTGAAATTTCTGTATGCTAGGTCCCCAGACAGACGACTCCACAGACTTAGCACACAGTAAGCGCTCAATAGGTGTTTAGTAAATAAATACATAAACGAATACTCCATCTAAGTCAAGTCTTAACTGTATGATTATTACGTGACTAACACTGTGTTGAGCATGCGTGCTGGGAAAGGGGATAGAAGACCCAAGACAGTGTCTGTCTTTGAGCAGTTTGTAATTGCAGTGGGAGAGGTGATATGTTTGCATGGAAGCTGGAGTAGCATGATAGAGTTAAAAGCACACAATTAATTGCAAACAGAAGAGTTCTCATAGTGTCTGTTCCAGGACCCGATAGTGGGCTGGGTAAAACTTCATGGGAAATGTGGAGCTGGTGCTGGGTTTTGAAGCATAAATAAGAGTTTGGATGGTGTGTGCGCGCGCGTGTGTGTGTGTGTGTGTGTGTGTGTGTGAGTGTGTGTGTGTTTATGAAAGGCAGAGAAAAGGGGAAACGCTTTGAAGAGAATTGGCACATGGAGAGCTTTTTAAGTGTTTATTCTAAAATTCTGTTACAGATGTGCCCATTAACCTGGAACTCTCTGGCCCCCAGGCGTGAACCACACTGGCCAGCTCCCTCCAACTTGAAGTGCAAGATTATCTCCTTTCCTGGACCACAGAGTCCGAGTTGACTTGACTACATACATCTCCTGCTGATGTTTTGTCCAGTCTGGACCAGTGACCTTATCAGTCAACAGGGATTTATTTCAGTAGCCTTCCTCTGTACTACTGAGTTCTTGCAAAACAAACACCCTCTTGAAAAGAGCTTTATAGAAAGCCCAGCTCCTGTGAGCTCAGCAAATAGACCTTGTTGGGGAGGAAGCCCTGTCTTCCTCTCTGCTCCTAGCAATGCACCAGCCCATAAAACAAACACATCTACAAACAATTTTTAAAAGATGTCAAGGGTACTGAATCTGCAAAACAAATGGGCAGCCACAGGCCAGTATCTGTCCACATTTCACTAACATGTTACCCTTTCTTTCTGTAGAGATGAGCATTCCTTTTTTAATCAGACTGTAGAGGGAGGTTCTTCAAAACTGTAACTATTTTATTCCCATTTCGTTATGTTTTGTACTGTACTAATCAATAGTTCGCAGTATTCTCTTGTTCAACTTTGGATATTTCCAAACCCCAGTTGACCACCCCACCAACAGTTTGAATACCTTCTCTTGCCCTCAAATTTACTTGCTAAAATACTTGTAAATGACTACTTGATTAACAGAAAAACAAAAAAACCCATTGATTCTGACTCATGGAGACTCCATATATTACAGAATAGAACTGTGCTCCATAAGGTGTTCTTGGCCATAATCTTTACGAAGCCAGATTTCCAGGCCTTTCTTCCATGGCACCACTGGGTGGGTTTGAACGGCCAACCTTTAGGTTAGTACTTGAACACAAACTGTTTGTGCCATCCAGGGACCTGACTACTTGACAGCTACTCTGACTAAGGGAGCTATTTCTACATTTTTTCCCTCTGCTGCTCAATCAAATACCGTAAAATATATACTCTTGCAGCCTAATGGACATAATTTGCCTATATTCTCCCTATAACAGTACATTTGCTCCAGAATGCATCTTTTTCCCCCAAAATTCAGTTAAAAAGGTTTACTTCGGTAAAATTAGTGGCAGGAAACATTGCCCCAAATCAAATACCACTTCATGTCGTTATCCTGTTTTCTATCATTATCTATGTTTTTATGGTGCTGTTAATTACCAGGTAGGCTATTTTTATAGATCAGACTAAAATTGTAAGCAAACAAACAAAACCGTCTTTAACTGTCAGCCATTGTCCCGGGGTAGAGCCAATTATCCAGTTAGTGCAAAAGCTGCACCCACTGGGCGTTACTGCCAAACTACAGCCATGCTGCCTCTGGGCTTGACAGGTCAAAACGGAGACATTCCATCCCCCTGAGCCTGGATCAGCTCTCTGGACTTGGGAGGAATTCCAAGGGCTGAGAGACTCTCCAGAATCAGGGACAATTGGATGATCTTGACCCCAGAGGTTGAAGTCACCCTGGGAACCACAGTAACTTGACCTGCACCCGTGCCTCTAGGATCTGCGAAGAAGCACAGATTACCCAGGGGACCAGGACGATTCCACTTGCCTAGAAACAATTCAGCACAGAAACTGGCCTGAGGCCTTCAAAATAACCTCCCTTTGAATACAATTTGGCTGGAAAGATTCTTAAATACATGTAACTTGATTATTCTTAGTTGGACTATCTTCTTCACTTCCTGTCTGTAGGCCCAAGGTTTCGGAAGTAACTAATGTGTATGCAACATTTTAAACTTTAGGTAAAATGGGGTTATTTAGTAGTTTTAAAATTTGTAGTTGCCTGCCTATAGTTTACTTTAAAAGTGTGCTCCTATGTATCATTATGCGTACCTATATTATTTTAAGTATGTATAATGTGGATTGTACAGTATAGTACTGAATTTCAATTTGAATCAAGTGTGGTGTTCTCTGATTTCAGATGACTTGGACAACTTGTCTGGCTTTGCAGAGGCGTGTAATGGGTAGATCTCGGCTTTCTATGTTGGGGGGATCTGCCTTCATGTGGCATACCTGGCCTGGTTGCCCAAGCTCTGCCCTGCACCTCCCTTAACCCCAAACTGGACATTTCAATCATTAAAGGACAAAATTTCTGTGAAATAAGAACTTTTTGTACAGGAGCCACTTATGAAATAGATTTTAGCAATAATAGTAAGCTAAAGAATAAACGTTTGATATTCAGCATCTGAAAATATCTCACAGTATTTTCTTTGGGGGAGGGAGGGAAACGATTACTTTAGCTAGCAGTTGCAAATTTGACCTTGAATTTTAAGGTAGGTACATTGCTTGGAACAGTTGTGTTTCTATTTGTCCTTTCCTTTCCTTTCTCCTCCCCTACCTTCATTCTTTCCTTCCTTCAAAAAAATGCTTGAACAAACACAACCTTACAAAAAGTTGAAACTACAGCGAAAAGACTGATCATTTCCTGAGTAAGTTTCTGACCAAATGCCCTATCACCTCTGAATACTTTAGTATGTATTTTCTACAAACAAGAACACTCTCCTCCATAACCGCAATACAGCCATCAATACCAGAAAATGAACATTGTTACACTGTTACCATCTAATCCTCAGACCCCGTTTAAGTTTTTCCAGTTGTTCCAATAACGCACTTTATAGCAAAAGATTCCGTTCAGAATCTTCCCTGCGATTTAGTTGTTACGTCTCTAGTGTCCTTCAGTCTGGACAGTACCTCAGTCTAGACTTTCAAGACCTTGGCACTTTGAAGATTATATGTCAGTTATTTTGTAGAATGTCCCTCTATTTGGGTATTCTGGTGTTTTTTCATGATTAAAATCAGGTTATTTATTTTTGACAGAAATACACAGAAGTGATGCTGTGTTCTTTTCATTGAATCTTATTAGGAGCATTCTAGGAAACATTCTTTTCCCACTGTGTTTGATTTCTAGCTAATAACATTGTCTACAGCATTACGCCTTGAGTCTCAAAAGAAAGTCACTTAGAGACTGAGGCCTTTATTGGGGGGTTCCTCTATAACCTTTCCTTTCATTCTCAACCGGGGTTTCCTATACTTAGGATGTCCCACCTCCTTCTCTAAGTCTCTTTTTCTGAAACTCTACATAACTTCCTTGAGAAAACTCTAGTTATTATCTCATTTAGATTCTTTCCTTATCCAGTGGACCGTGTTCCAAGTCCAAGTCCTGCAGTCATGAGTGGAGTTTTGGGTTGAAGCTCATTACTCTTAGTTGTGTAGGTGCTGGCGTGGAGGAAGGGCAGGGAGTTTGGGCTTCAGTCCTGTGGGTAATGATGAACTCAAGTTCTTCAATTCCACTTTCCTTTTCATTGCTCCCACTGAAAGAAGCTGTGGACCTATTGGCTTCCTTACTACTTGGTGTATTAGAGTAAGCACATCCCTGAACAATAAACTATACTTGGGAGCCAGTACAGCCTGAACCCGTGTTAAGAAAAAACTATTGCCTCACTTAGCCAGGAGGCTGCCCGGCCCTTGGTGCCACTGGATCCCAATCACTGTGAAATAAAGGTTTTTCTTCCTTCTTCTGGCAGGGCCTGCCAGAATCCTAAAAGAAGTTGACATTAGCTTTTAATGGCTGTTCACTAATAATGTGGGATGTGGGCTAGACTTAATTAAATTATTTTGGGTCAGAGTTTTCCCTCTAATGGAAATCAGGGTGGGGATCATTTATTTTCCTCTATCCCATGATCTATATTGAATGCTATTGTGTCAGAATTTATTTCTTAGCAACAGCCAAGAAAAATGGTTACTTCTGGGAAGCACTCCTCTTTTAACATTCAAAAAAAAAAAACAAAACCCCAGGTGAATGAACATGAGTAATATGGGAACCATTAACTATCTTCCAGTCCAATCTTGGATCTAGTCTAACATTCCCCAAACAGTGCGTTAAGAGTGCATCCTATTGGTATATGAGGAGCAAAGGAGTGATTTAAAATAATCAAATGCCTCCCTACCCTTCCCTTCCCTGCCTAGCCCCACTCTCTCATCCTAAAGGAGCAATTACTTTGGGCTGAATTGTGGATTTAAAGCAAAATGTTTCAGAAATCTGAGAGTCCAGATTTTCAAAATGCCTAGAATAGTCAGTTGTATGTGAAATATCAAATTTGATTACAAGGAAAAGTATTTATAAGGCTCAGCAGAATAAAGCCCCCTCAGCCATAGACTGTTAACGCTGGAGAGAATCCCAACAATCTCCAGTCTAACTTCCTAGCTGGTCCAAAGAAGTGAAATGATTTACCCATGGTTACATACCCAGTGAGCATGAGTAGCAGAGCAGAAACTATACCTCCTATCTCTGACCCCATTGCTTATCTCTTCTCCACTTGCTTTATCTTACCCAATCTAACTTCACATATCCTATATTCTTTCCCTAAACAACAGGATTCATTCTCCCCTCTTACCTCCCATCCTCTTCCACTCACAGGCGAGACTGTGAAGAGGATAAAGGAGTTGGAGGAAAGGTTCTGAGTGGGCAGTGAGTAGAGGAGGGCCAGCCTTTAGCTAAGCTGTGGGAAAAGAAGCTTCGCTCTCTTCACCAAGACTTGTCCCCACCGCCCCGAGCCAGTGTTCTCCCAACTCTCTACTCTGCCTCTGACCCCAATGGCAATGGAGCTAACCCCTTTCCTTATCCAAGATCTAACCACACATGAAAAGCTCTGGCCAACAACAATTTTGGGAATGAAAGGGTCAGTGGGAATAAAAGCTGGATCCCTGAGTTCTGAGACTCAGATCCTAACCTTTTGCTCCCTAGAGTACTTGCAGCTGTAATACTCCACTGTCTCTCATTAAGACCAAAGAGTCATGCCATTTATCTCATGATCACTCCAGTAAGAAATAACTTGCTACTAACCACTCTTTCTAGGGTTTCTTCCGGTAAGCACTTGCAGTAAGAGAAGTGGTTTCTGTCAATCACCAGATTTTCAGAGCTCTACTGCAACCTTATCAGAATCTATATTTTACTCTGCTACCAGAACTCTAGCTAGTGTAATCCCCTTACATAAAACGGCCCATATTCAGACTCTGGGCTGTCCACTAGTTTGGACCGGCTTCTAGCACAGGAAATTGTAGTGTCTAAATATCACACTTGGTGCGGCACTAGGGCACTAGAAAAACAAGGCTTGAAGGGGAGGGGAAATGGAAAGAAGACCTCCTGACTGGTACTGTAACCACTGTAAATTTCTAAACGTTCTAAGGAGACTACACCGTCTCAAATACCTCTTTCTGGGAGAAGAGATAGGATACAGGTGGATTTTCCCTGAGATGTCATATTAACCTCTTATGAGAAACTGATATATTCTGAGAAGAGAATGAGATTTCTGCCAGTTGTGAATTTAGATAATTGATGTCAGTGTATTGGCATCCTGGCAAGACTAAAATCGAGACTGTCTTCTCTCTGACTACCCTTCTTCCTTCACTACCACTGATTCACTGCCATATCATTGGCCACATTACTGTGTTATGTCCAGGGAACAGTTTTGCCTGGAATGATCTCTTTAGGGGCTGGGGGCTTGTCTTGTTTTCTAAGTTTCATGGGTGTAGGGCTACTGCTGTGATCATCTTTGTGTGTCTTTGGATTCTTTTAATATGAGGGAACAAAAGACAACACTTAGACTCTACCAGATATCTGAGCTTAAGCAGAATAAGATTTGGGGGAGGAAGAATTAAGGACTTGAATTTTTTCACACTTTAAATTATTTGGACTTTAATTTGCAAGAGAATTTAATCTTTGAACTTCAATTTCTTCTGGGAATTTCACAATGGAAGGGAGCTTATATGCAAATTTCAGGCATCTTTATGTTGTTGGAAATTTATTATTGGAGTATGTTAGTGTTGCCATTTAATCATATTGCATAACCTCTGGTGAGCTATATTGGGCAGTGTAGTTGGGCATAATTTGGTTTGGGAAATAGAAGAGGGAGCAAATTCACGTCCTTAGATACAGTCTGGACTTGTAGTTAATCTAATTAATGTACTGTCTGGGAGTAATTTTATGCTCCCCACGTGTAGTCACCAGAAGATACCAAAGGAGCCATAGGTGGTATTGATGCAGCCATGAAGATGGGAGCAGAACTGTCCTGATGAACAGCTGATCTTCTCCCTTGTATCACACTCTTGGTTGATCATATTCTTTATGGTTAAGCCCAAGGGATAAGAGGAAAAAAAGATGGGAAATGATTAGGGAAACCCTCTCCCTCTATTTGTTTTCTTACATGAGGGTCCTAGCCTAACACACTGGTCTTTACACGTACTTTTTGCTCCACCCTGATTGCCATCGAGTCAATTCCAACTCATAGTGACCCTATAGGACAGAGCAGAACTGCCCAACAGGGTTTCCAAGGAGCGGCTGGTAGATTCAAACTGTTGACATTTTTGGTTGGCAGCTGAGCTCTTAACCACTGTGGTTAATTGGTCCATGTTTATTGACTTGATAGAGCTGATCAGTACAAAGGTCAATCACTGGGATATTGATCTCTATTATTTTCTGTCCATTTTGGATCCATGTGAAGCAGAGATCCTGGGTAGTGTTTCATTTTGCATACTTAAGTTTTCCTCATAGATACCTTGTCCCAGTTTTCTGACTGAGACTGGCAAGGTGGTGTTCTCCTTTTCTTCAATAAGTTTAATGAACTTGGCTTTGCTTAACAGGTTTTTCTGGTGGTCTTCTGGAGAGTTGACAGTTGAAAGATATTATTCTTTCCAGGAAAATAGAGACAAGGTAATCTGCTGAGGTTTTAGAAAGCCTGGAACTTCAGAGAAGGGAAAAAATTTGGAAAATATTCTTTGGGCAATGTGATAAGGCATAAACAAACGAACAAAAAAACCCAAGCACATTGTCATTGAGTTTATTCTGAATTGTGATATCCCCATGTGGTACAGAATGGAACTGTGCTCCATAGAGTTTTCTAGTCTGTAATCTTTAAGGAAACAGATTGCCAGGCCCTTCTTCTGTGGTGCTGCTGGGTGGGTTTGAATCACCAATCTTTAGGTTAGTAGTTGAGTGCAAACAGCTTATACCACCCAGTGACCCCTTGTGATAAGGAATAGACTCTAAGAAGCACATTTTCTGTCTTGATTTGGAGCTTTGCAGAGAGAGGTATTCTCCTGGGGAGGGGGGAGAGTCCTACAAACTTGGACTCAGATGGCATGATATAGAACAGTCAGGGTTGGTGGCTACTCTCTTGACCTTGGAGTTAGTCTTCCAGGAAGTCCTTATCCCTCTGATGGAACAGCTTGGGCTCTGGTGGAAGCAGGGCTTCCAACAAGTTAGCTAGGTTTGAACTCCTGCTGAAAATTTGCATTTCTAACAAGTCCGCAGGTGATGCTAATGTGCTGGGCAGGGAACAATTCTGAGAACCACTAATAGAGACAAACCAAAACCAAACCCACTGCCATCAAGTCGATTCCGACTCGTAGCGACCCAATAGGGTTTCCAAGGCTGTAAATGTCTGCGAAAGCAGACTGCCCCATCTTTCTCCCACAGAGCCTTTCAAACCACTGACTTTTGATCGCTTTAACCACTGCATCACTAGAGCTCCTTACTAGTAGAGCAATGGTTCTCAAAATTTATTATACATAAAAATCACCTGGGGATCTTGTTGAACTCGATTCAGCGTATCTTGGGTGGAAATGCAAATTCTCATCAGGGTTGGAAGCTCTGGGTGGAAGTGGAGTCCCTGATATTTGCTGTGGCTCCAGTTCTCAGATGCCCCTTGTTTATTCGGCTCCGAGACAGCTCTCTTGGTTTCCGCGCATTCTCATCTCTGCTTTCCTCCATTCTCCTGGGCTTCTCATCTCACTTCACCAATCTCTGCTGCTCTTAGGCTCAGCAAGAGAAGCTTGGAGTCACAGAAAGCTTTTATCTGCTTCCTTGTGTAAAATATATCAGTAGAAGTTTGAAATAATAATTCAAATAATCCCAGAGATACCACAAACACCATTATATGTGAGATGAACTTTGGTATGTTCAAATAGATATACCTTGAGAAGAAATGTAATCATTCTCCTGCCTTCTATTCCTTTTTTTTTTTTTAATTCATTTTTATTTTTTATTGTGGTAAATATATACACGTATGTGAAGGAGCCCTGGTGACGTAGTGGTTAAGCCCTCGGCTGCTAACTGAAATGTCGGTAGTTCGAACCCATCAGCTGGTCTTTGGGAGAAAGATATGGCAGCCTGCTTCTGTAAAGATTATAGTCTTGGAGACCCTATGGGGCAGTTCTGCTCTGTCCTGTAGGGTTGCTATGAGTTGAAATCAACTCCACCGCCGTGGGTTTGGTTTTGGTTAACACATTTTCCAATTCAACGTTTTTTACAAGTACAATTCAGGGACATTAATTATATTCATCATGTTGCACAACCATTATCACTATCAGTTTCCATATTTTTCCATCACCCTTGACAGAAACTCAGTGCCCCCACCCCCCACCCAGCTATGGCTCCCTGACTTCTTAAAATATGCAGAGATGGGTGTTTCGTGTATACATAATCATTTTTTTTCAGTAGTTCTTACTAGAATGTATTTCTTATTTGTTAAAATTTAAACCAATTTCTTCTGGCCGTTAATAAAAATAGCCCAGACTAACTCACACTGAATGTTTGCTGGCACAAGTACATCAAGCCTCTGCTGAGATCATGTTACACCCTTAAAGATGGTTAGTAAACCTCTTCCTACCTTCTGAGCCAAATGAACCTAATTTTCCCCCTTATCTGATTTCCAATAGACAGTTTCAATCTCTCTATTTTTTAAATGCATTATTGGTAAAGCCTAGGGTGGGGCATTAATTAAGCAAAGCTCAACCCACAAAAGATTCTTAACTCAAATAGCCAGCCTCTGAGTGTTTAAACTTTTGAAGTTTTGGCTTATTTGAAGTCATTTGGGTTTTTCCCTCGTTTCATTATCTTCATCGCCAACAGTGCTTGAAGGCACTGAATACTACAATTTCAAGCACCCCACCCTATTGAAGCTCTCCCCTGTTGTGGTCTTGAAGAGCACCTGCAGCCACAACTGGCTGTGGGAGCCATTTGGAAGCCATTTTTACATAGAGGCACAGCAAAGGTAGGACACAGAGCTCAGACGAGATAACGAGGCTGAGTTCTGATGCCTATAGTCTAGAAATTTTGCCACCCCCGCAAAGAAACAAAACAGAAAGTCTCGCTAAGCATTTTTTTCCATAGTATAATTTGCTTTTCCAAAGAAATGGTAGTTAATGCTGCTATTGATCAAATTCACATATGAATCGTTAAGAAAGACAAACCTGAATTTAAAATGACATTTTCTTTAAAAAAATGGCTTAGGATACATTTTTTAATTACATGCTTGAAAGCAGTTTACAATGTGGTTATACAATTTTCACTAGTAATTTTTCTAAAATTAGTCAATTTTCTATTCTCACAATCATGATAAGCTTTTTGGCTTTTAAGGAGCCCTGGTGGCGCAGTGGTTAAAGCGCTGGGCTGCTAACCAAAAGGTTGGTTGTTTGAACCCACCAGCCACTCCGCAGGAGAAAGATGTGGTAAAGATTTACAGGCTTAGAAATCCAATGGAGCAGTTCTACTCTGCCTTATAGGGTCAGTACGAGTCAGAATCGACTCGACGGCAGTGGGTTTGGTTTAGTTTTGGTTTTTGGCTTTTGCACTTCACACCTATTCATTTTCCCACAGTTGTCACTGGCTTTGAGTTTTCCAGTTTCTTTCTGGGTATTACCACTTTCGTTGTCCTCAGCTTCTTTGTAGTTGGGGACAGGCAGCTAGGAGTGTGGTGATTCTAGACTTAAACCTGGGCTTGTTGTCGGTGAAGCCACTGCATGCCACCCCAGTTAGACTCAATCCCATTTAATTCTAACCTTTGCACAGGATTTTTTAAATAGTGGAAGCGCCTTTGCTTTTGTACATGTGCTTATCTTCACTCACTCAGTGATTCCACTGTCAAACATACTCAAAATCTCAGTTTCCTCATTTACAAAATAATTTCTGAAGTCTCTTTTATCTCTACAATTTTACTGTTCTATCATTTTAAGAACTTTAGTTCCATCCCCAGGAGGTGAATTTCAGCATTTCTTAAAATCTTTTACCTGACATAATTTCTGGGTTTATCAGACTCTTGTTGTGTTATTTAGGTCACTGCTGAGAACTTGCACTTCAGCTCGTTATTTTCCTCAGGTGGATGAGAGGGCAACCTCCTATAAGCAAAAGTGACACAAATTAAATTTGCAGAATGAATTCAGATCTTTCTAAAAAATTTTTGGTATGGTCTTATACTTCTTCGAGCCACACAGTCAGCCATTTCACAATTTACCTCTTAAATTTCTGAGAAACTCCTAAAGTCCCAAAATCACTGTGGAAATCACCCAGATCACAAGATGCTTCCTAACTCCATCTTCTGCTTTCTGAAAGCTTGCTTAAGAAAGAGGTAGGCTATTTAGATTTTACTTCAATTTGAGAGTTCCCATTTCCCCATTGTTAGTATTTTTAGATAGTAGCGTACATTTATTTGTTTATTTATTTATTTATCTCTTGAAAGTTTGATGGGGAGAAGGGGTTTACCCCTATGAGAATGGGTAGGAAGGAAAGACTTTACAAACTAAAACAGGTAATTTGATTTGTGGCAATCCTACACAGAAAATATGTTTGAATTACAGCAAAAAACCAAACCCATTGCTACTGAGTTGATTCTGACTCACAGTGACCCTATAACAACCACCTATTACCTTAGGTGTTTCAGAATAAGAATATACATGACACAAGTTTCTTTTACTTGATGTCAAATGAATAAAATGTTTTAAAACTTTTTTTATTGTGCTTTAGGTGGAAGTTTACAGCACAAATTAGTTTCTCACTCAAAAATTTATACACAAATTGTTTTGCGACATTGGTTGCAATCCTCTCAACATATCAGCACTCTCCCCTTTCTACCCTGGGTTCTCTGTGTCCATTCATCCAGTTTTTCTGTCCTTTCCTGCCTTCTCATCGTTGCTTTTGAGCAGGTGTTGCTCATTTGGTCTCATATACTTGATTGAACTAAGAAGCACGTTCCTCACGGGTGTTAGTTTATTTTACATGCTTGTCTAATCTTCGGCTGAAAGGTGGACTTCAGGAGTGACTTCAGCTCTGAGTTAGCAGGGTGTCCGGGGGCCATAGTCTCAGGGGTTTCTCTAGTCTATGTCAGACCAGTAAGGCTGGTCTTTTGTGAATTTGAATTTTGTTCAACATTTTTTTCTTGCTCTGTCCAGGACCTTCTATTGTGATCCCTGTCAGAGTGGTCGGTGGTAGTAGCTGGGCACCATCTAGTTCTTCTAGACTCAGGCTGGTGGAGGCTGTGGTTCATGTGACCTATTAGTCATTTGGACTAATATTTTCCTTGTGTCTTTGGTTTTCTTCATTCTCTTTTGCTCTGGATGGGATGGAACCAATAAATGTATCTTAGATGGCCACTTGCAAGGTTTTAAGACCCCAGATGCTATTCACCAAAATAGGATGTAGAATATTTTCTTTATGAACTATGTTATGTCAGTTGACATAGATGTCCCCTGAGACCCTGGTCGCCAGCCCTTAGCCCCAGCAACGCGGTCCCTCAAGGTGTCCAGATGTGTCTAGGAAGCGTCTATGGCTTTTCCTTGGTCAAGTTGTGCTGACTTATCCTATATTGTGTGTTGTCTTTCCCTTCACCAAAGTTAACACTTGTCTGCTATTTAGTTAGTGATTTCTCTTCCCCCCCTTTCCCTCCCTTGTAAACATATCAAAGATTTTTTTTTTCTGTGTGTAAAACTTTTCTTGGGTTTTTACAATAGTGGTCTCATAGAATATTTGTCCTTTTGTGACTGACTTATTTCACTCAGCATTCATTATTGTCATGAGATATTTTGAGGATTCATCATTGTTGTTTATCATTGCATAGGATTCCATCGTGTGTATGTACCATAATTTATTTATCCATTCATCAGCTGATGGGCACTTAGGTTGTTTCCATCTTGTTGCTATAGTGAATAATGCTACAATGAACATAGGTATGCATATGTTATTATTATTATTATTTCTCTAGGATACATTCCTAGGAATAGGATTGCTGGATTGTATGACACTTCTATTTCTAGCTTTTTAAGGAGGCATCTCATCATTTTCCATAGTGAGAAATGAAACTTTTAAAATGTTATAGGTGAAAACATACCATGTTCATGGATAGGAAGACTTGACATTGTGAAAATGTCAATACTTCCCAAAGAGATTTGTAGATATAATACAATCCCTATCCAAATTCCAACATTATTCTTTAACAAGATGGAAAAAATATTCATCAACTTTATATGTAAAGAAAAGAGGCCCTGGATAAGTAAAGCATTATTGAAGAAGACTAACAAAATAGGAGGCCTCACACAACCTCATCTCAGAACGTACTATACAGCCATGGTAGTCAAAACAGCCTGGTACTGGTATAATGAC